GCTTACCAGAGACTGTGCAATGCAGAGACCAAGCCCACTTCCACCATGTCTGGATAGAGTTCAAACAATGCAGACAGGAGAACCAGTGTTCACGTCTGAGTCATTGGGGACAGATATTACAAAAAAGAGCCAAATCACTTGTAGTCTTCAAACCTGGTGACAGTCATGGGATGGACTTAAGACCGACAGTGAATGCTGAGTCAGCAAATAGAAGTGTGAGAGAAGGGTGAGGGGATGAGTCGAGGGTGCATGGATAAACTATCCCAGAAGTGTCTCAACCAACCTTCGTGTCATTGAACCGTCTCCTTGAACAAAGTCCTGGAAAAGTTTCTCCGCTAGATTAGTCGGGATCCCAGGTCCTGTGTCTTCCACCTCAAATTCAAGGGCCACTTTGCGTGATGATGGATCAACCTCTGTCTGATGTGGTGCACGGGCATTGACGGGGTCTGGGGCATCCACTGGACGCATGCTTATCACGTGTCTGTCAGCTCGCTCCTGTTCGGCAGTCTCGTTACCAGGCTGAGGAGTGCACCTCTTGCTGCATATTTCTACACCATAAGGGGTCGTTATTGTATACGGAAGGAAAGTACGGACGGTTTGGCATCTTAGCCCTCGAGTAACACATCCATTCACGAAGTGAATCAAGTTCTCCCAGATTGACTGGCGGCATGAAGTGATCAGCGATGGGGGCCTTTGGCAGCATACTACGGTCTGTCTTCTGCTGGCAGTGCTGAGTGTGCCTGACCAGCCACTAAAGCAGCTCGTGGAGATGTCAATGGCACTCTCTGTCGAGGATCCAACTTGGATGGCGGAATTGAACTGATCAGGATCTTGCACTTGACCACGGATGACAATGCAGCCTGATGGCGTAAACTTTGTGGCGTTACCAATAAGAGTTGAGAAGATTTGCATGATGCGTGCTTGGTCGCCCCTCACGATTTCCGGAATATCATCTGCGGTGTCGTGATCGAGCAAAAGAGGAGCACACACACAATCATTACCTGCATCGCAACCGCGACCCTTGGCAGTCATCCATAGCACCATGGATTGCTCAAGTATAGCATGTGCAACAATCGTAAAGCGTCAATGAAAAACAGAACTGTACACTGAGTTTCATAACAACTGGAAATGACTTTGAGCCTGCTTGGATTTTATAATGCTCCGGAGAATCTTCTCTTCCAAAAGCTTGTATCAAAACCAAACGTTCCACGTGCAACAGCTTGTCATCTTGTTTTGCATAGATTCGCAGAGGAATGATGGCATTTCATTGTGCTCTCAACTTTTCTGCTTTAACTAGATACAGCTTCCAATTCACTAAACACTGTAAACAGTTGAGGTTGTATTGAATTTTCTTGATTGTGTCTGACACATAGGCAGCAAGGTAGAAAAGGACAACAAATGGAGGGCTGTGAAAGACTGTTTCGTGGGCTTTCACCAACTCATCAGGAAGCAAAACAGTCTGACAGCCTGCGGAGTCCCCTAAGGGATCACACCAATGGTGATAATGCACCTTAAACCACCAGCACCTCCTGAAAGACTGTGCACACCCCTGCACAAAGAAAGAAGAATTTCTGGCCTTTAGATTGTCAATCAATGAACCAACTGAAAAAGGAGAGCCTCCTCGTAACCAGGGCCGTTGGAAGACATGGTTTTGCTTAACCCCATGGCAGGTGGCCCCTGATCACCTTCCCTCTACGGCACCTGTGAGGAAAACCAAAGCAGACCATAAGCCCACCCATGCCAGATGGAAGAGCTAGAGCGGCTGCACTGTCCAATCAGAGAATCAAACATGTAACGTTCCAGTTGCCTGATTGCAGGCTAACACCCCATCAAAACCCAGCAAAAAAAAAAAAAAAAAAAAACCAGCAAAGTCCCCATGAAACGAAGAAAGGTCTGCAGGAGCCAGAGAACACAATCCAGGCACACTGTCGGCACTCGAGGCACAGCATGACCGCCTAGTGACAGCCCCGGCCACTGCCGCTGGAAAATCTGACCAGTGAACAGTTGCACAGAGCTAGAGATTCCAAGTTTACATACCTGCCAGCTTGAGCACGATCTCGAGACCTTTCTGTTGGCACTTGATAGCAAACATATCGACGAGTGATTCAAGCTCTTCCCGGATATTGAAGTTCTCGTTCTCAAGGACAATCGTTCCAGCTTCCTCCTGAACAAAAATTCAACTAATACATATCATCACGAATGACGGCGGAGTTCAAAAAAAAAAAAAGGAAAAAAAAAAAGAAGACAATGTCTTTGCAGTAAGAGGTGTAGGATATGGAGTGGTCTGTGGCAAGCATGCTACAAATCTGTAGTGCGCTGCAGACACCTACAAACTGGCCTAGTGGTCAATGCCTGTCGGGAAAGAGAGGAGGGAAGGGGGGGGGAGGGAGAACCGGGGGGTACGGTCAGGAGCAAGGATTGCAAATGCGTAAATGTGATTAAAATTCATTAAATGCACATGACCATCCACTGCATGTCATCAGTGAAGAAAGAAACAACAACACTCACACCCGCAGCAACCCGCTTGGTATCATTTACATGCATGCATCTTTCACAAGATACGGCCAGATTCTCAAAACATGGATGCACTGGAAAGTTGTGTTGAAAAATGGAAGTTACACACACAGAATGCTCCGTCTCTTCAGCAGATATGGCCGCAGGACAATAAACCGAGCAGGTATGTATCTTTCACTCTCAGGCCTTGTCTCTCTCTGAATGTCTCTACTCTCTCTCGCCTAACAACTGCGCTGCCAGGTGCCACTGACTATGACTGCACCCAACTCGCTACTACTCTCTCCCACGTGTAACCGGTCACACAATAATGCAGCACTGCTTCTGCTACCGGACAAAAGTCCAAAAGTGTCGACCCTTGTTGCGATCAGACTTTTGTACTTGCTTCAGTTCCGAACGTAGACTTGTGACGTCATAGCTGCCTGCCTTGACTGTGGCCAGTAATGATTCGGACCGCAGCGGGACTTCCCAGAGAATGAACTGCGACCGACCCGGGGCTTGGCGCATGTTGAGTACCTAACTACTATTGACAGCTGCCAGCCATAGGACTTCCTGGGAATAAGTTGCGACGGACTTGGGGCGTACTTTTACCATGCATCTGTCGCAAATCTAGTTATCTAGACAAGAAGAAGAAGACAAAGAAGAAGACAAAGAAGAAGAAGAAGAAGAAGAAGAAGAAGAAGAAGAAGAAGAAGAAGAAGATGGATGTGGAGGTGCAAGAAGTAGAGGAATGCGGAAAGAAGGACGGAGGAGGAGAAATGAGGGGAGGGAAAGAAGCAGTCGGAAAGAAGTGGGAGGAAGATGAAGAGGAGGAAGAGGAGGAAGAGGAGGAGGGAATGGCATGAGGCGAAGGTGCTGAAGAAGGACAAAAAGGAAATTTTCCGTCAAGTTTAAATCATCGTTCATCCATCAACAACCACAACAGAGCTGTGAGGGCCACAAAAGAAATCACATACCTTGGCTACATATAGAATGGAGTTGAGGAGTTGTAGAAGATGGACAGCACATTTGTTAATGGATCTTAGTGCAATTTCCTGAGCTTTCATAAGGCCGTCAGCTTGAAGAGAGTCCAGCATTGCAATAATGCAGGCCACAGGAGTACGCAGCTCATGACTGTGTGCAGTGCAGCAGATCATCAGTAAGAGACGATCCACACACATTCAATACTCCATTTGACATATGAATGCAGTTAGTGCCACATCATCAATCTTGTCCACAAGCTCATCACCATTCTCAAGCAGAGGAACACACACACACACACACACACACACACACACACACACACACACACACACACACACACACACACACATGGTTTGTTATGATTTCTGGAGGGAATGAGAGAGAGAATTTGGGGTGCTTAAACATAATCATCACCGTGCTTTTGAAAAAACACACATAATCAGTTATGTATGTATTCTTTCGATTTGTTTGTTCGCCTCTCTCGCTGTTTTTTTTTTAAACACACATAATCAAGTTATCAACTTGTGTATTTTACTATTTTCTCTACATATCCTTTTCGCTGTTTTTCTTTCTTCAGTACTTTGTGTTTGAGTCAGCACCTTTAAGAAGTGCTAAACAATAGGTGGCCCGATGTTTGGAGTGCCTGCAGGACTCTTAGGGGAGCCGCTCTGTTCGTGATGTGAGTGTGGTGCATATGGTCTATGGGTGATGACAGATGTCTGTCGCAGTAACTCCCTGGCTCAGCCGGTAGTGGGAACCAACAGTCTGCGGGGTTAACTCGTGATGTGAGGAAGGAGAATGTAGCAAAGTGTCAGCGCCGCCGGTTAGCGCATGCTGCCGCCGTACAGCACCCCACGCCCTTCTCGCCATCGCACCTAATTACGGGCTTTACGGACAGTCGTCCACGCGCACGAAGCGCGCTAATTTTTGCTCTGGCCCGATCGGACCGCTCATCCAGACCATCGCATTTGACCAACGAGGAAGATGCGTCGATCTCCTTAGAACATCGGCTGTACCCATGCTCTGACTTTCCTGACACGTCGTGGTGACCGTTTAGAACGCGCGTCAATCACACACAATACTTCTACCCTCCCGTGATGCTATCTGGAGGCCCTTTCAGGGCAGATCCACGGTGAATACCTAATGTCGAATCGAAGCACTTTAGAGCAGGAATCGAACGGTCTCGAGGTTGCTTGAACGGCGTGGATAGCAACCTCGACGACAAGCTGCACATTTGAGTGCTGGATCTTCAGCAACCTTGGAATTGAGTGGTTCTCTCGCGACTTTAGTCTCCAGTTGCTGAAGGGCACCTGCAAACGGAAAACAGGGGGCTGGGCAACAAGAAAGACAGAAAGCCTCCCCATCACAGCTTATCAGTTCCGCACAAGGGAGGGACCGGGAATTCTTGGTTAATATGTGACATATACCCAATTGAAGACCCAGAAGCAACCACAAGTCTCTTATGCCGAGACCATTCGGGAGAAATTGCCCTACCAGAGCATGCAATAAGGAAACTGAGAGTGGTAGAAACAGAGTAACGACGCATCTATGAACCTCTAGTGAGCATACTGGATCTGGAAGCCGACCCAGCTGAATGGGCTTGGAAGAGGAAGTCAGGCACACTTGGAATAGAGAAACGTAATGACAGTCTAGAGTACTCTACTAAGTTGGGATATATTCTAAGAATGAGATCATTCCCATTAACCCCAATCATCAACCAAAGATGGGAAACCCACCTCAACCAGGACGAACCAAACTCTCATCCCAACCTGGAGTAGGATACTTCCCATAACCTCCAGTAAAAAAGGAAGCTTCCAATGGGTACTTGCTCACCGGGATCTCCCAGTTAACAAGTGTTTGAACAAGAGAAGTAACTTACACCTGAGATCCCCCGTACAGGAACTATGCACTATCTGTTCTGATGGTCTGTCAGAGGATATAGAGCACTGATTGCTATTCTTCCAGAAAGCCAAACAACTCTGGACATCCGCAACCCTAGTCTGGCACTCAATCACCAACAGAGCCCTCCCAACAAATCAGGCCTCTCATCTATCAGACCTACACACTCCCAACTCATGGCAAGGTTTCAAGGTTTCTTTCTTCCACACGCTAAGACTCACAACCTTATGGATGATCTTGAAGCGCAGATGCCAAGAAACGATCGACCGCTACCCAATGGCACCCCAAGAAGCAAGGGCTCCTAACAAATCAGGTCTCTCTTCTATTAGGCCTACACACTCCCAGCTCATGGCAAGGTTTCAAGGTTTCTTTCTTCCACACACTAGGACTCGCAACCTTATGGATGATCTGGAAGCGCAGGTGCCAAGAAACGATCGACCACTACCCGATGGCACCCCAAAAAGCATGGGAAGGAGTACTGTATCTAGTAGAGGTTGAGTATAGAGGGTGATGGAAGAGAACTCGCAGGAAAATAGAAGGGAATATGATGAACAAGGACAAGATAACAGAGTCTTTTGTAAAGCACCAACTAGGAGAAGGTAATATAGTGCGAATAGACCAGGACAGACTTCACTTTGCCCAATGGCCGCATACCCATCTAGCCAGGAGGCAGGGGTTGGAAGCACCTAGAAGTAGAACCCACCTCACGAGTATGTCGATAGGTGCGAAATAAAAAAGGAAGTACCAGTGCAGGCCCCCAGAAGGAGAAGAGTAAGCAACATCAGTACTCATACCAAAGCAGATTCCCATTAATCTATAGGACAAAAGGAGGGGACACAGGCCGGACCTAAGCAAGAACCAAGAACATGCGAGATAGGGACACCCGGTATAACCCCTTAGGGCTTAGGACTTAGGAATTTCATATGGGATTCTCAAAACCCTTAGGACATTGGTTCAGGGAGGCTGAGGTTAAGCAGAAAAGACTGGACAATAGACTAGGAATCTTTAGAACGATCAGTTTCTGGATATATTTGTTCTTCAGTTACACAAAAGGACAAATCAGGATCCGGTCACTCTATGGGAATAGGTCTCGTTAGGAACAAGCTACAGTAAGACCCTTAGTTGCCAGCTTCCTGCACTTGCTCTAGTTTCCCACGAGAATCTGACAGCAACTCAGCTGAGAGGAGGCAGGAGTGAGGAGACTCACAAGACAAAGAGGTAGCGAAAATAGCCCAAGTTAGGCAGGGGTGAGGGGTGATACATCCTCCCCTAGGGAAGTAATCAATGCCGTCCACTCGGGCCTCTCAACCATAATGGGGAGGACTGTGTGTGTGTCCTTATTGTATTCATTGCTGACTTGGCGGGGGAATACAAGCCAGACTGTTGCTTCCCAGAATGGTAGGAGCCAGAGCCGAGAGTTTTTTTTTTTTTTTTCCAAAGAGAAGGAAAAAGGGGAGAATCAAAGAAGAAAGAATCAGAAAACAATTACAAAAACTCACCTCATTCTTGACAGGAATGCCGTCTTTATGTCATTTTCCATTTCAAGCTTTCGTTCAACCTCAAGTTCTTCCAGCCGTTGTAAATCCATCTGCAGCTGCCACAACTTTAGCCTCATGAACAGGAAGATGAAAAAGCAGCTGAGTGCGAAACCTCCAATCGCAAGGATGGTGAGAACCACAGCAACAATGTGCCGGTTATGATCAAAAGATACTAAGAGAGAAGAACGCAGCAGAATTAATACCACAGTCAGCCGTACATTGCCAGATGCAACTGGTTGAAACGGCCAAGTACGTATGAAGTATTTCTTCCCGTTGATCCTTATGTTGCCAGGAGGTGTCTCCGTCTGCAGAACATATTGCCATCCAAAGCGTTGTTGGACATACAGTGCAGCTTTCTGGACCACTGAGTCCGTCGATTCCATTGCATTGACCTGTTCTAAAGTACCAGTCTTCCCACAGAAAGAACAGGTGTTCAAACCTGAGTCACCTGACACTGCTGCGACCATGGCTCCGACCTGGTCCGTGAAAAACATGCGCCCACCTTTGAGATCATCTCCGTCAAAAAGACTGTGAAGCACATCAACAAAGACATGTCAGCCGAATTGAGTCAAGTGGCAAGTTGGCCTGCTACTGTCTTCACCCGAATAGAACACCTGGTCATTATCGCTGCATCTGGACTGAAAAATGCCCCAAATACAGCTATAATGACCGGGCGTTATATTCGGGTGAAGATGATAGGAACTATAACTAACCATGACAAACTTCTTATGACACAAGCAAGACTGTTGATTTCCGATCCATGGGTGGAGATTCACTTACAGCATGCTTAAAAAAACACAAGGCGTTGAAGGCGAAGGAAAACTGACAGTGACATCATAGGGTACAAAAGGTTTAACCGTTCAAGATGTAGTGAACTGCAACGGTAAAACCGTCAAATGCTGGCATACAACTAATACAACTATGGACAGCTTTAAAAAAAAAAAAAAAAAAAAAAAACTATGGACAGCTTGGATAAATCTGCAGAATGCCAAGGGAAAGGCATCCAATGGAGGGCCAAAGTCTAAAGCGTACACACCGCAGTCAGTTACCAGAAGCATTAAGCAGGGTCAAGTTTCTTTGAGTTGGAGTTTCATCGGGAGCCTACTGAGTTCAGCAGGAGATAACAAAAAGGATCATTATCAAGCGAGGTGGGAACTCATTGGAGCTCAAGTTTGCGCTGGGGTTGAAGGACCTGACACAGTATGCTGGAACAGAAGATCAAGAAAGGGATAATTGAATCACTCGTATGTCTCTAAAACATTCCTTGATTGAGAAGTGGGTTTGCATGATGTGTCCCCCCAGAACCCTTGGGCATTTGGTGGGCCCAGCAGTTGGGCCACCTGTCAGTCGGGGTGCAGCTTAGGCATGCGGCCCACATGGTCGAGTGGCGCCACGTGGCACAAGAAAAATTACGTTGGTGGCACAAATAAAATTGCACTGCGGCGGTTTACACTATGGGCAATATGGAAGAGACGGTGCAAGGAAACCATCGACACCCAAAACACCCCAATGGCAGAGGCACGGGAGACCGTCACGAAACTCTTGGGGATTGATTAACAAGCCGACTGGCACAGAACTGCAATCAGACTCGCTCTCATTCACACTTCTCACGCATGCAAACAGGTGCGCAGCAAACTGGCGACAAGCGCCCACTCAGAACTCAGAGACATGGTAACCAAGAACACAGTTCAGATTCAAGTTCACTTCGATGGCTATGGCGACTCAGCGACCACACAACTCACTGTTCGCATACACAGGATCACCCTGGATATCCCACATGCGATACTCTGAACACATACACACACACACACACTGAACTCTACTACAGCTATGGCGGCTATGGTCGCTACTACCCTATCGCTATGGCTACACTCCTTCTCTCTCGCCCACTTCGTCCTCGGGCTCACTGCAGACCACCTCGCACAAGTTGCTTGTGGCAGCGCTTCCGCATGGCTCACGCAGGAATGAATGAATGACTGGGCGCTGCCTCTTGATTTATGCTTCTGCAGCTCGTTGGTCTGGCCCTTTCCCATGCCCGTAGTGCACACAGTCCCATGCGGTACTTGCTTGACTGGACCAGGACTGACTGGGGACTGGGACTGTTGACTCAGCATGGGTAGACTCCACCACTTGCCCACTTGCCTCACCACTTGCCCACTTGCCTCAGGCTAAACGTGGGCAACTTCGAAAGGCCACTACTGGGACCTTCCGGAAGGCCGTAGACTTGGCCTTTCGTTACTGTAGCAGCTACGACCTTGACCTTTCTGGACTGCAGCAGCTACAACCTTGACCCTTTGAGAAGGCTACAGCTACGACTTCTAGACCTGACTGCGACTCCTACTCGACAGGTCTACAGATCGAACCCCTGCTACCTATGGACCCTACGACAATCTACCAACTGTTACAAATACACAGGTCACGGGTTCAACTCTGGGGGTCGACACAGATACTGTACACAGGTAAGGTGGGGACAAGGGATGGAGCCCTGGGATCTGCATCAGCTACTGCGAATTGGTGAATACCGTTTCACTCCCGCCGGCCTAAATTTTGAGGTCCTCCGAGAATAACTCAGTCCAAGGCAGGACCTTTACCTTTCTGATCTCTCTCGTAGGCCCTAACTATATCGGGAGCTGTCTCCAGGAGTTCTGCTCTAGTGAACCAGCGGTCATCCTCCGGTTCCTGGTAAGCAAACCAGACCTTATTCTGCTTTTGTGGATGACCTCTACCTCCTGTTCTGAACACATCTTCACCTACAATGCCATCAATGTCATGTTTTCCGTCCATGTCTGGAGGGATCATGGATCGTCTAGATGGAAATTGCTGACTTGTGACACATGACAGCAACTTTGATGCGTGAAACACAGGGTAGGTGTGGAGGTGCGCTGGGATCTCTATGGTATAGGACGGCCCATCCTCTCCACCCTTAACTTCTAGAACTGGCCACGATCCTCTATAAGCGGGCAGTAACTTTTGCGAGAATTCTCCTCAGGCGCAAACTCTTTAGATTTGACCCAGACCAAGTCGCCTACCTGAAACTGTGACGGCCGACGATGCTTATTAGCCTGCTCTATCATGCGGTGTCGGGCGCATCGGCTCCCACCTTTTTTGCAAAGGCGGAAGCCCTCCCGGCCATGTCACGCAGGAGTTAAACGAAACCAAAACAAAACAAGAGACAACTCGGGAACAACGCAGATTAATCCCGCGAGCCGCCGATACGGCCGCGGTCGCGTCGCTCCTCCATCACTCTAGCCGGGTGCGTCAGCTGTACATTCCGCGGCCCCCTACGACACGATAGGTTCCCGCGGGACATGAACTTCGCTTCCCTAAGGGGCTGTCACCACCCTTAGGGGCAAATCCCTATCGAGCTACTGACCCACATGCGAAAGCTTTTAGATGCAATTGCGGTAGGTCAGCCGAGGGCGTTTGCTCGTTCGTTGTAGCATAGATACGCTTGGTTAACGCCAAGCGAACCCGAAAGTCGTCCGTTCCTAAGGTGCTGATCTCCTAGGTGCGGAGCTAACGTCGATCGACTAGGACTGTCTCAACCAAGCGTGAAACCCAACTCGGTCCAAGTCCCTTAAACATAAAGTCAAGCGAAAGTTACGACAACCACGTATATAATTATATCAGAAGGGGTTGACCGCAGCCGATAAGAATGTACATCTGATCCAAAGTAATAACTGGGAGCATCCATATCATTATTTGATACATTCAACAACACAAGATCAAAAACAATCCGGCCGCCTCAGGTCGAATATCGCAAAATAGTTACACAACCGTCAACAAGGAGTTGGCTACCGACAATAGTATTGATGTCGCCAACATGCTAGTTGGACAACCTCAGTTTTTGACTTGATGAGACACGCTGCCAAAGTCATTCATTCTGCCTACCGCCGACTTAAGATAAGACACGCACACATCCATCTCCATATGTTCCCAATTTTCGCGGATAACAAGCTACTTTACAAATGATTCTTGATCAGGGGTATTGCTTAACGTGTTGCATGCCTCTTCCTCTAGGAGGTGGTCCGGGGTACTCCTCCTCATCCGAGCACAAGACTTGGATCTTAGAAGTCGGACCGTCTCCACCGAATCAGCAAATACCCCCCCATTGAACTGTCCACTCCGGGTCGATAACAGGGTCGGCTCTTAAAGCAACGAACCCCCGCCCCAGATGCTTCTTAGAGATAGAAGACGCGTCCACTGCAAGTAGCTCTCATATATTTTTCGTTCCTCCTAAGTCCCGGGGTAACTTGGACGAAAAGAATCAAGAGAGATAGAGAATGAGAATCACTTGGACAGGTATAAGCAGATAAGGTCGTTCGGGATAGAAAGGGTTACTCCTACGGGAAAGACTAAGGCCATTAGACCTCATCTGCTTTTATTTCGATCGTATTCATTGTGCGTCATGCGTTGAATTAACCTTTTTCAGAACAACAAGTCCTTATTGACATCCAGGTAGGTGAGGAGTAGAGGGAAGACAATCATTTTCCCTTCTCTCAGATAAGCATAATCAATCTCCTTTGCAAGCATCCTTCTACCTACCTGCGCAAAACGCAAAAGAAACAAGTTCAAGAAAAAAACAGTGCAATCCCATACTTAAGTCAGACCTCACCATTCACATGCAAACACACATTTCCCTTGCCTTTTCAATGAACATTCGATTGAACAGGGCCAAACAAAGTGCGGGTTCACACAGGAGTGAAGGGAAGTCTGAATCATTCAACTGACCTTGAGTGAAGTTTGGTCCGACCTACTTAAGAAAGCCGAGTAATATATAAATCAAAAGAAAATGACCGCCGTAGAAAATATGTGGCACACAACTCATAAGTTGTGACCTTTCTCCTGAATGACGATTCACGTCCTCCACCCAGTGCTCAAGTGAGCAGAGTCGGCCCATAGAGAGGACTTAAGTGGGATAACCCTCCAGGAGGGTGCTCCCATAATCCAATCCCATATCGCCCCAACATCCTGAACAATTTCAACGCAGTCCCTTCTGCACCTCGTCCTCCAATGATACTTCCCAACCAGCTGCAAGTCCTCGCCGCCTCCAAGCACCACATACGCTCATAATAACCACACCAATATGTCGGTCCCGATCTGAAATCTGTCCCACTTGGTCCCAAAATGGTCCTAGAAGGTCTCATGCTACGACCGCATCACTGAATGGTCCCAAACTCAAATCTCGCTTGCACCGCGCGCCGCAAAAAAAAAATAAAGGTGGCCCCTGGTGAAACCCGCAGGTGCTGCGAGCCCCATAATTACTTCGCCGCGTGCAACCGCCTTGCACTTCCTGCCTGTTGTCGGCCCACACACCACTTCCGCACAGTCATAACCACGCACCAGCGTTTGCCTCACCTCTAGGCCACACTGAGATCCACTATGACTGCCGCGCACCACAAAAAAATAAAGCATAGAACTGCCGCTCGCCGCGCCGTCAAAACCCGATACCACGCCGTCGTGCTAAATATTAGCACCAGTTCCCACCAAAGTGCCGCTACCGCCACCGCCGTGGAAAACCGACGGCA